CTACTCAAACATTAATAAATAATCAAACCATATATAAAAATTAAAATTAAAAAGAATTCACTTTTAAATTTGATAGCACCGTTGGAAAATTTACTAGCAGAAATGGATTAAAAAGAGTTTAGAAATAGAAACACTAGAATATATCACCTGAAAAGCAAAACTGAATACAATCACTTTATTTATTAATTAATCATTTTAAAACTTTCAACTCTTATTAATTCAGCAATTAATCATTTTAAGGAGAAGTTTCTTCAACTCTTTTCTTAAAAGCTCTTATACAAGCTAATAAAATAACTCCACAAATAATTGCAAATAATGCAAATAAATGTATAGTTGATCTTTTGTCAACAGTATAATTTTCTACCTTTATTAATCCTTTTAATAATGGAACAATTGTTTCAATAGGAACTGGAGGTTCTAATGATTTAGAATAATTTTATAATATGGTTATTTATTCTGCTGTTATTGGTAAAGAATCAGATAAAATATATATCTTTTTACCACAATTCTCATATTATACAAAATAATCAACATCTTTCAATTATTCTGCTAAATCTACTAATCTTAATTAGAAATTATTTTATATTTAAAGAGTAGGATTTTCTCTTATATTATTATTAGTTTCAACAGGTATTACAAGTTAAACAAATGTTATGTTATCAATTTCTGTTGTATTCATTTGATACATATTTACAATGATTTCACATTTTGCCTCTTCTTCATCTGGTATAATATGAATAGCTGGACAATAAATCTCGAAATTTGAAGGCCCATACATAAATGAGGATTAAAGTATTTGTATCTTTGATTTATCATTTATTTTGAAATCCTCTCCGTAACCTATTATATATTCTCCTTCCAATCTTATTACAATTTCTGATTCTGGTTTTTGTTTCTCTACTGAATTAGGAATTTAAAGCTAAGCGTTCTCAATACATTGGCCATTTATTATAATGAGATAAGAGATAAAATATATTATCATTTAATAAATAAATTAAATTACCTGTTAAGATAATTAATTAATATTTATAAATGAAGAAACTATAATAGATTGAAAATATTAAACCTTTAAATACAGAATTTCGATTAACCGATTTAAATTATCTATTAAATGGTAATTGTTATTTAAATATCCTCAGGAGGAAAACCTAAAGAAAAATATCTTTTGCATCATGTTTTTCAACATTTTCATCAGGATTCAGAACTTGCCAAAAAATTGACAAACATAATTCTTAAATATGAAAACCCAAATGAATATGATAAAGAAAAATGGACTCCATTGCATCTTGCTGTGAGATATAATTAAAATAAAGCAGTGATTTATGCCTAATCAATTGGATAATTCAATTTTCATCTTCTGGCTGGATAATAAGGTCTATCATTAATGCATTTAGCTGTTCTAAAAAGCAATTATGATATTATAGAAATTTTAATAGTAATTCAAATAATAACAATTAGGAAAAGAAAGTCTCATTGTTTACTGAAAATGCAGATGGAGTATTACCTAGAAGATATGCACTTCAATCTCCAGTAAATTTAAAGATGATTAAAAAATATGAGAATCGTTAGATAATGAGATTTTTAATAGATCTTGAGGATATTGATGATGATGAATCTACTCAAGCGAATAAAATTTAAAATCTAAATGTCTCTTAATAATCAATAAAGTAAGGAGAAGCAAATGATGTTTTGATTACTAGACCAAAAGTATCGTTAACTTATCATGTTTAACAAAAACAATTCAATCCTTAATATTTAAAATGTGAAAGATTCTATGAGAATGCATTAAGCATAATATTTTAAGGAAATGATGTATTTATTTGATATGCGCTAGAGTAAGAGCTTTATACAAGTATGTTATTGTTGTTGTCTTTAAACAATGATAGGTTTCCACTAAAAAACATTTAATAATTTGTAGAGTAATTAAATGTAGGAATTCCAATTTTAAGACAAGAGTAATTTGATAAATAAATCAAATTGGAATAATATAGTAAGAAAATAAAAAAGGATTTAGTTTATGCAATTTAAGATTATAGAATAGTAAATAGATATTAAATAATTAGAAATTGAAAGGGATACCGAATATATTTGGAGAGACAAGAAATTAAGAATCAATAAATAATTTAAAACGATTTACATCGAATAAGTTAGAATATGATATTAAAAATTATGCTAGTATGGTTCCAATGCCTTAATTATTGCATTAGATTTAGAGATTAAGTTAGTTTTCATAATATAGTTATTAAATTTGTGGATATCCAAAGATAAGATTCTAATCAAACCATCTTATTTTGCATTAATTTGAATGTTTAAATGAATAAGGATAGAATGATTTGTATGAATCAAAAAGAATGAAAGGATAGAGTATTCATGAATGGATAAGTAATTCAGATAAATAATTGAAATTTAATAATATTTACAATAATTATTAATTATGAATAAATCACAATAAGAAGCAATCTAAAAAAACCATTATGGTAAATTAGAATATTGGGAAAGAAGATATTCAGAGTATTATTTAATGTAATAATAGAAATGATAAACCATTTGAATGGTATTAAAATTATGATAACTTAAAAGATATAGTTACATAATATATTAATCACAACAGTCGTATATTAAATATTGGATGTGGGAATTCAAGTATAAGAATTTGAAATATGAATTTATAGATATTCCTGAAGATATGTATAAGGAAGGTTATTAATGGATAGTAAATTTAGATTTTTCAAAAGTAGTAATTGATTTTATGAAAGAAAAGTATAAATAATATCCTGGCCATTTTTAATGTATTTATTTAGATAGATATAAATGTAATAGTTATATTGGCAGATGCAAGAGACTTACCATTTCCAAATGATTCATTTGATTGTGTATTTGATAAAGGTTTATTGGATGCTGTATTAAGTGGAGATTATTCAGCATAGAATTCAAAGAAGGTGATTAATCACATCTATAGATCCTTAAAAAAAGATACTGGAGTTTATATTGTTATATCTCATGGATTTCCAGAATAAAGATTACCATATTTGAGTAAGGCAGAATACAATTGGAAAGTGACATTTAGTAAAGTTTATAAACCAGATGTAAGAACTAAAAGTTTAGAATTTGAAGCAAAAGATCTTAATAATTATCATTTTATTTATGTTTGCAAAATGGATAAATATCAAGGTCAAACTGCTGCATAAGTCATTGGAATTTGATTATATTTTAAAGACTTAATAATAAATATTCATTCATTCATATTCTTTAAGTAACATTAAATATTTATGATAATATTTATTGTTATTGCTTAAATTAGTGCTTAATGCAATCATCCAATATTTTGTTAAGGTAGTCTATTACATACAGTTTAAACATAAAAGATATTCAATGATGGTAAAACTTTTGTAGATATGACTATGAAAGAGAAATAAACAAATATTTTAGATGTTTGGAAAACTATTGATGTTAAAAATAAGACATCTGTGGTATAATTTATTTCTGATTATTTCAATGAAACTGGTAATGATTTAGAATCTGTAATACCGAATGATTACAAAGAGAAACCAGATTATATTAATAATATTAAGATTAAAGAATTATAAGATTGGAGTTTGGAGATTAATAAAATATGGTTGGAATTGTGTAAATAATTTAAGAAAGGAATAGAAGATTCTTCATCAATGATATATGTACCTAATCCATTTTTTATACCTGGAGGAAGATTTAGAGAATTTTATTATTGGGATACAATGTGGGTTATAGATGGATTAATTATATCTAAAATGTTTGATAGTGCTATTAAAATGTAAGAGAATTTTGTATTTATAATTAATAAATTTGGTTATATACCTAATGGAGCTAGAATTTATTATCAAGGTAGAACTTAACCTCCAGTTCTTGCTTAAATTACATACAATATTTATTAAGCATTAATTAAAGACGGATAAGAGGAAAGAGCTAAATAGTTGATTAATAAATCATTTTAAGCAGTTGAAAAAGAATTTCAATATTTTTATGAACATAGATCAATTAGAGCATGTTTAATATTTAAAAATGTTTATTGTGATGTTATGCTATATCATTATGATTCAGATATTTATTATCCAAGACCAGAATCTTATAATGAAGATATAAATATTGGACATGCAAATACTTAAATGTATCATGAAATAACATCTGGAGCTGAAAGTGGTTGGGATTTCTCTACTAGATGGTTTGAGGATTAATCATCTTTAGAATCTATATAAACTTCTTAGGTTTTAGCAGTTGATTTAAATACTTTTATGGTAATTAATATTAAAAGATTATCTACATTCTCAAAGATTTTAGGATTATAAGCAAAATAAACCTTTTACGAAACTTTAGGTAAAAATACTGAAGAAATTCTTTTAGAAAAATTCTACAATAAAGAAAGTTATTAATGGAATGATTACAATTATAAATAAAAGAATTTTAATAAGAATTTTTATGCTTCTAACTATTTCCCATTAATTTTACAATAATAATCAGATAGTAAACTAATAGATAAATTAAAATAAATGATATAAGAATATCCTGGAGGAATACCTACTTCAAATATTAATACAGGATAATAATGGGATTTACCAAATTCATGGCCTCCTCTTAATCAAATAATAATTTAAGGATTAATAAACAATGATTAAATAGAACTGGCTTTATAATTATCATAAAATGTTATTAACAATTCTTATTGTTGTTTTTAAAACTCTATTATTTAATATGGAAAAGGATACATGTTTGAGAAATATGATGCTACAAATATAGGAACATCTGGAGGAGGTGGAGAATATGAAGTATAAACTGGATTTGGATGGACCAATGGGGTGGTTATTTGGATATTAAATACGTTTGGATAATAATTAATTTTACCAACATGTCCATAATAGATATGAATTATAAGAAAAAGAAATGGTCATAAATGTTATAAATCTGTAATCTTTGTTAGTTTCTTCGCGTCTCTTTATTCTCTTTGAAGTCTTTATTGCATTCTATTATAACGTCCTTGAAATAGTTTTGTATCATCTTTTAGTCTTTTCCATTTTATTGGTAAGAAACATTAATCTTTTGTCATCAAATTATCCATCAACAATTTTTCATGATATCCATTATATATACGTTTCACATATTCATATTTCATAATATCTGGATCATCGATAAACTCTTTTTCTTCTTATTCTTATATGTGAAGTGATTCTCTTTAAGTCTATGGTTAAGATTTTATTATCTTAGCCATGTTATCCAATGGAATATATAAAGGATTCAATCTTTCAGATTCTAAAATTAATTCAGAAACCTTGTCAATCTCTATTGCTTATTATAATTTAGTATTTAAAATATGTAAAGGTATTCTGTTCTTTATTTAACTTGTACGATTCACATTTTTTGAAAGCAGTTTAAACTATTCCCAAGATCCTTAGAAATTCTTATTATTATTATCCTTTTACTCTTTATCATTCTTCATCAATTACAATTTTCCTTATTTCATTTATTCCTTAATCAATTCAAATTTGGTTGTATTACTAAATCTCTATTTATGATCAGATTAAAAACCCAAAGTTTATAATTCTGAAATCATCATAGTGCTTCTCCTCTTTAATTACATAACATATAATGATTATTTTCTTTGTAAACGAGAAAACAAGAAATCTTCAGGTTAGATTGGTTTAATTTATTATTCTAAAACTTTCTAATTTAATTCTTATAAACATTTCGTTCTTTTATTTTCATCATAAAATACATTTCTAACTTTATTATTTTTTAATTCAACATAATCCTTATATTTCTTAACTTTATCTTTAACTTATTATTTAAAATGTTCTGATACTTAATATGCTTATTCATTTCCTATAAATAGTACAATATCGTCACCACATAAGAATTCTTCACATCTAAATCCACTTTTAATGAATTAAGGTTTAGAATTCTTAGCATTCCATGAATACAATCTACCAAGTTAATCAACACATGCAGCTTGAGTTTAAGCTACATGGATTTTACGTATATTAGAATATTAATTAGGCATTCTAACTTCTTTAATCTTTAAAGCCTATTCAAATGTCATTGATTATAATCCATTCCCCCATTCATATATAATACCTTAATAATTAAGTACCAAACTATAATGATTCCCACATTAAACATCTTATATTTTTTCTAACTATTTAATCTATGTAGGAGTACTACAATAAGTTTAAAATGAATATCCTGCCATCTATAATCCTAATTCTCCATTTTTACCATTTCCCCAAGAATATACATATCCATTTTCATCTAATAATAAAGAATGACTAATTGAACATGATATCTTCACTACCTTATTCATTATTAGTAATGGTTTAGTTGTTGAAACTACATTAGTTTTTGCTCCTAATAAATAAGTAAATCCACTCCCATATAAATCTCCATGTTAAATGTAATAAAATCGATCATTCTAAGCACATAATTATGATATTCCTTTTTGTGGTAATTATTTAGGATCTAAACACAATCCTTTAAATTAAGAACAACAAAAATTAGTTTCACCCCAATAATACAGACCTTCCCAATTGTAAGCATAAGTATATGTCTCTGCACTATTTAGAAGTTCATAATTGCAGTATAACCTTTAAGGTCGCTTTTGTACTTCAGAAACTTCACCCAATCCTAATTATGCATGTGAATTATCACCAAATACCCATACATCATCCCTGAATATTTATTTCATATACCGATTCCCGAAAAGAAAAAAAGAACGGAATCCTCCAAACAATCTAATGATAGTAGCATCAACTAAGATCTAATTCACTGAACCGTAAGGAATAAACTCCACCAAATCAGTACGACCGATAAAGAAGACTACTTTTATTTGCACACACTACCATTGCTCATATATCGAGGCGATTGTTAATTAAATAATATTTATACATTACTAAATTAAACCAAGTATATTATTATACCCTATATTATATTACTCTATCAACACTTGACTGAAATACATAATTTATCAAACAAAAATCCATAAATTCCTTCTTAGTATAAATAAATTACAACATTTGAGAATTAATGTATTAATATTACGTTTATGAATAAAGGTAGACAATTCAATTTTAAATCAAAAAATGATCAACTGAATAGAAAAAAAAAATAATTTAGTAACATAATTTAAGATAAGAAATAAATTTGAATATTCTATAATGATAATTACTATAAATTAAAAGAATCGTTAATATACAGATGAAAATAATTAGGGTAAAAATAATATAAAATTTATCTAAGTCTATCATGATATGATTTTAACATTTGGAAGTGTTTATTATTGCTATAACAATGTTGGTTAAATAGTTTAAATAGGCTAATCTTGAATAATGTATTATTTATGTATTGGTTATGGAAGATATGATTATGATGAGTCTATTACATATTATGTTTATACAGGACGAGTTGTAGTAGTTTATTCGAGGACAACTCTTTAAGGAGATTGTTATTATAACAATATAGATTATCTCGATAACTCTACACTAATTCTCTACTCTAAAGATTTTATTAATTCATCTTTTTATCCAATTATTGTTGCCATTTTAATGTTTTCTTATTCTATAAATCTAAAATCATTAATCATTCTAGTATAATCTTATTATAATCTAATTTTTTCAGGATCTTATTTAAATGACAATTATGATAGTTCTGAATTAGAAAATTTAAGTGAATCAATTTCTCTTAATAAAGCATTGCGTTCTTATTCCATATATCTTACTTAATTAATTAATTCATAATTTTCTTCTGGTACTGGAACATGTACTACTGATTATGGAACAGGTTATCTTAATCTAAAATCTAAATCTTAGATCTAACTACTCTTTTATTAAAGTTCCATTTGCATATTATTAATAACCTATTTCAATTCTTTAATTCTCTTCTTCTTCTTTTCTAATTAATTTTCTAATCTCTCTATCTGATATGGATTTATCATTTATTATTATTATTGNTAAAGAAGACTACTTTTATTTGCACACACTACCATTGCTCATATATCGAGGCGATTGTTAATTAAATAATATTTATACATTACTAAATTAAACCAAGTATATTATTATACCCTATATTATATTACTCTATCAACACTTGACTGAAATACATAATTTATCAAACAAAAATCCATAAATTCCTTCTTAGTATAAATAAATTACAACATTTGAGAATTAATGTATTAATATTACGTTTATGAATAAAGGTAGACAATTCAATTTTAAATCAAAAAATGATCAACTGAATAGAAAAAAAAAATAATTTAGTAACATAATTTAAGATAAGAAATAAATTTGAATATTCTATAATGATAATTACTATAAATTAAAAGAATCGTTAATATACAGATGAAAATAATTAGGGTAAAAATAATATAAAATTTATCTAAGTCTATCATGATATGATTTTAACATTTGGAAGTGTTTATTATTGCTATAACAATGTTGGTTAAATAGTTTAAATAGGCTAATCTTGAATAATGTATTATTTATGTATTGGTTATGGAAGATATGATTATGATGAGTCTATTACATATTATGTTTATACAGGACGAGTTGTAGTAGTTTATTCGAGGACAACTCTTTAAGGAGATTGTTATTATAACAATATAGATTATCTCGATAACTCTACACTAATTCTCTACTCTAAAGATTTTATTAATTCATCTTTTTATCCAATTATTGTTGCCATTTTAATGTTTTCTTATTCTATAAATCTAAAATCATTAATCATTCTAGTATAATCTTATTATAATCTAATTTTTTCAGGATCTTATTTAAATGACAATTATGATAGTTCTGAATTAGAAAATTTAAGTGAATCAATTTCTCTTAATAAAGCATTGCGTTCTTATTCCATATATCTTACTTAATTAATTAATTCATAATTTTCTTCTGGTACTGGAACATGTACTACTGATTATGGAACAGGTTATCTTAATCTAAAATCTAAATCTTAGATCTAACTACTCTTTTATTAAAGTTCCATTTGCATATTATTAATAACCTATTTCAATTCTTTAATTCTCTTCTTCTTCTTTTCTAATTAATTTTCTAATCTCTCTATCTGATATGGATTTATCATTTATTATTATTATTGAGGTTAACTCTATTAACTTTTCTGTGTAAGTTAATTCTTTATATCCAATAAAGATTGTTTTAAACCTGATATTTAACGTTGTTACTCTTCTTATAATTTTTGATTTTATAATAGTTCTAATTGCTATTACATTTTAAATTCCATGTCTTTTATTTCTTATATATGTAATTTTTCAATTTCATCCAACTTCTTCTCATATACTTCATTTCTATTCTAAACAATTGGTTACTTCTCTAATAATTAATTATTATGTTTACCTTTCAACACTACTTATCTTGTAACAACTTTTTATTCCTTATCACAACATTATACACATGGCATACAAGGAATACAACAATTTTATTCTTAAATTACATGATCCTATTTAATAAATTAGGATTCTCCTTAGACTACTCTTCTTTCTCTTATTACCGTCGGCTCTGCTCTGATAATTTATGTTCCTTAAATTTATGGTACCATCACTATAGGTTATTCATATGTTGTAGCCACATATGGAGTAGGTACATATGTTTAATAATATGATTGACTATGATCATATCGAGGTTCAACTGCTTTGCTTTTCTTTTCAGAGTGTTTCGACATTATAATAAATCAACGGTTAATTAATTAAAAATATTCATAATACAGTTGCATTACACGAGCAATCAAGAATTGACCAAAATGAAGGAGGATGAATATATTTCTTACGATTTTATACATCTTCAAATTAACTCAACAAAGATTCGTTATAATCCATTCTTTATCTTTGTTAAATTGCAAATCTCTTTGCATATTCAATAAATTATGGTTCCTTTCTAGCCTTTTCTATCATCATTTTTAAAGCTGTCTCTTTATTATTAATAGCTTCAAGAATAATAATTTTAAATTAATCATTATTTTAACATTGTATTTGTTACACTTTTTTACGCTGAATTGATTTTTCAAAATAACTCTCAGCTTTCCTTATTTTTTTAGTCCAATCTATCCTGAATTCACAAACCTATCTAAATGTCTTTCCTTATTAATTTTTTTCATATAATTCCTCATGAATGCAATTATCCATATGTAAACATGGTTAAATTACCAAAGAAACTATTAATTCTAAATCCTTTTAATTCTTATAGTCAAAGATTTTCTTATCATATGTTATTGGTGTCTTTTATTTTATAGAATAACTATTCTAACTGTCTAGTTTTATCGAACTCTTCAATTTATCATATATCTAAATTTAAGGAGAAGGATGTTTTCGACGAGTACTGACTCTAAGTTAATTGATTTGAGACTCATCTTGAATTTAATTTGAGATATTCTTCATTAATTTAAATTATGTTTCCAAGAATACTAAAAACACAAAAGTATTTTGATTTTTTAAAATAAGCTCATTTAGCCCATATACGTTATTCATGAATAAAAATTGTTATAATCTGGCATTAGAATTGAAATAATATCTTTTAGCTGATTATTTATTGACTTAATTTCCAATTTTACAATTACCAGATTATATGGAAAATACACTTGCTTTACATGTAAACATGTTGCAATAACGTCTAGTAATTATATTATATAAATGATATAGTTAAATGAGAAAACCATATAATGTGAAAAAGACATTGAACATCTGAGATTTTTTTTGAAAACTTATGTTTACAGTGATTTGGCTAACAAATATAATTAAAAATATCCAGCTGACGGTAAGGAAACAAATAAGCAAATATAGCATTTAGTGATTATTTTATAGAAAACTATTAAAATAGAGTAGAGATTATGGCCCCTGAAATTATAATTTTAGACAACGATATGTCAACTTTAAAAAGAGAGGAGATAGAGGAGAATTCTAAAAAATTTATTAGAAAATTCATTTTTCTAAATAAAATAGCGATAACAAATAATATTATATAAAAATATAGTAATTATTTGATAGCTCATGTAAGATGACTCAAATAAAAATAGATGAATTATTTGCATTCATTATCATATTTAGAAATGATGCAATTTAAAATATATTGGGGAATGTAAGAAGAATAGAAATAATTGAATGCTTGATTGAATTGTATTTATCATTTGAGATTATAATTTTCATCTAATGTTTTTTTCATTTATGAATTCATTTTAGACATAGTAGATTAATTTTTAATTGATTTTTCAAGTCGATTGATTTCTTAATTTTATTAATTTTCTAATTCTTTTCTAATATGTTAATATTTAGATAGCATTCTAAATATTATATTAATACATACATTTATAGTTCTTAAGATTTATTTTTGCTTAACTCTTCTTAGACTGAAAGAATTCGTTATTATAATGCATTCAATTCAATAATTTACTTCTATCTTAATTATGAAATCAGATTCTTAATTTTATTTTACCTAGTGATATTCCATTTATCAAATTCTTGTTTTTATAAATCCAATATTCTCTATTAGATAATATGAGCTTCTTTGTACCTTAAATGAAATAGAAGTGTGCTTACTACTCTATCTTAGCCAATTATTGTTCTGTTTTTCTTAATTTTAATAATTAAGCAGAATCTTTTGGTTTTAGTGGAATAGCATGATCTAATTCTTCAAGAAAAGATGTTAATTCATTTTAATGTCTAGATAATATTTAATCTTTGGCATCTTTAGCTTCAGAATTGAATTACTTCATTTTTTCATCCCAAAAAGTATTAAATTAATAAAATTCATTAAAATGAGCTTTGTCAATGATGTCTTTTTCTTCTGAATATTTATCAACAAGATAACGTTTATCTTAAACATCTGAGATTTTTTTCAATTAATTTAATTTATTTTTGGCTACATCTGCTTCTAAATATTTTCCAGAGTTTTAACAAATCTTTTAATGTTAATGTAAGTGTAATCTAGAATTGGATAAGAGGGATACATTTATTATTATAGTTCATGATGTTAAATAGGATATTGATTTGTAGGTTTAGAATGAGTGCAATTCATAATTGATATAAATTATTAAATGATAATTATTGATATAATGAAGGAGAGAGTTTAAGACATATAGAACATTTACAATAATACAATGGCAATAAAATAAATTAGTATTCATGAATCTAAAGTAGAGTACAGAGAGAAGCTTCGTTAAATTTAAGAGACCGATATAATGAGTTCGCTTTATTAATTTCGTAAATTGACACAATCAGATTTAGCTTAATTTCAAGAAGGAGCAAAATAAATATTTAAAATAATTGCACCAGGATTTGATGTACACGAATACATTACTTAAGACAAGATTTACAGAAATTACTCTCACTTCTACCAGTAAAGTGTTCATCGAGTTGTACTTACATTTTGGTTTCGTTTCAAAAAGTGACGCTTTGTACAATGAATTACTTCACAATTCAAAGTAGTAGATATTTCTATGTCTCATTCAACATTTAATAGATCTAACTAAAATTGCAATGAAGTGTGCCGTCAAAAGATTTTTAGATATGAAACTATTTTGTGTTGGAAAAGAAATTGAGAAGGCTCCTATTTTATTAACTAAAAAAGTTGACATGATATAATTTGCAGCAGTTAAGAGAATTAAGATGAAAAAAGTTATGCGTAGTGAATCCAATTCTCTTCGTTAATCTGAAAATAAGTAAGATCTCAGGATTATTATTGATAAAAAAGATAGAATTTCTATTAATGATGTCATTTCTCATTTTGAAAAAAGTGAAATCATTAAAAAAAATGATAAATCATATGATGAAATAAACAATGATAATATCAGTACTACATGCAATAGAAACATATAGAGACATTAAAGTATGAAGAAACATACTGATCCAACTACTTAAAGATTACAATTTCCCAGTATATACAAGAATTCTTCCTCTGTTTTATACAAAGTTCTTAAATCACGTAATTAATTCATTAATCAAACAATATCTAATTACATTAAAGAATTGTAAGACAAAGGAATTTATTTAGAATGAATTAATATAACTAAATTACTTTATTATGAATATTTGTTTATTACCTCTCTCCACATAATTTAAAGATTTCATCTACCTTATTAAAAAATTCCTTAAACAAAATCCTGGGATTACTACTGTATCTTAAAGACTCTACAAACCACCTTAAACTGTAATAATATTATAGTAATAGTCTAGAAATCTGATTATTAGAAAAAATAACTCAAGCGTCCATCCAATGTTTTCCACTCATAATAACGTCATCCTTAATAATAAATTCAATAACAAATACAACCCCATGAATCTTTATTGAATTCTATTATCACTACTGATAGTCAAGATATTGATCCACCATAGACACATTAAGATCTTCACATTGCATTTCAATTAATTCCTTAAACCTTTTTATAGACTATGACTTACAATCTATAAGAACAAGGTCTTATTAATAAATTAAAAAACACTCTTAAAGACCAAATTTCATTCCTATAAGATTCCATGAACTTTTATAATAACATCTTAGATAAATATTAAATCATTCAAATTTCAAAAACTAATCTAGAAGCAAATGATAAACCATAAAGAATAAAAGCTTGGTCTTATTACAAAGCTTTTCAATAAATTAAATTTATCAATGAAAAAATTGATTTATTTTCTATTCCTTTAGGCTTTTAAATTTAACCTGATATCATTTATAATACTACTAAAGAACAAATGAAAACCATCATTCATTAACATATTTAATAACTTACACTTAGTTTAAATACTCTTATGTCTTACAAATTTGATAATTTTTTTAATAATCAAAATGTTGATAAGATTTTCAAATTTCTCATTTCATTTCAAGAAGCCTATGATATATGTGAAAACACAAAATAATTATTAATTGTAGAAAACTCATTGTGTTATGCATTGTAAACTATAAGAATACAATCTTTAACATTAATTTAGTAAATTAAGTAACAATATGAAGATTGGTATAATTCATATCAAGAAAAAGATGGTTAATATTAATTATTTATTAAAATGCTTTAGATTCGTTTACATCATATGTCTTTCTACTATTTGACTCAAAATCCTATTTATGAATCTAAACATCATTAAGATATTCTTAAATATATGGATGAAATGCTTATTATCTAATAATCTCTTACGAAATATTAAAATNTCTTAAAGACTCTACAAACCACCTTAAACTGTAATAATATTATAGTAATAGTCTAGAAATCTGATTATTAGAAAAAATAACTCAAGCGTCCATCCAATGTTTTCCACTCATAATAACGTCATCCTTAATAATAAATTCAATAACAAATACAACCCCATGAATCTTTATTGAATTCTATTATCACTACTGATAGTCAAGATATTGATCCACCATAGACACATTAAGATCTTCACATTGCATTTCAATTAATTCCTTAAACCTTTTTATAGACTATGACTTACAATCTATAAGAACAAGGTCTTATTAATAAATTAAAAAACACTCTTAAAGACCAAATTTCATTCCTATAAGATTCCATGAACTTTTATAATAACATCTTAGATAAATATTAAATCATTCAAATTTCAAAAACTAATCTAGAAGCAAATGATAAACCATAAAGAATAAAAGCTTGGTCTTATTACAAAGCTTTTCAATAAATTAAATTTATCAATGAAAAAATTGATTTATTTTCTATTCCTTTAGGCTTTTAAATTTAACCTGATATCATTTATAATACTACTAAAGAACAAATGAAAACCATCATTCATTAACATATTTAATAACTTACACTTAGTTTAAATACTCTTATGTCTTACAAATTTGATAATTTTTTTAATAATCAAAATGTTGATAAGATTTTCAAATTTCTCATTTCATTTCAAGAAGCCTATGATATATGTGAAAACACAAAATAATTATTAATTGTAGAAAACTCATTGTGTTATGCATTGTAAACTATAAGAATACAATCTTTAACATTAATTTAGTAAATTAAGTAACAATATGAAGATTGGTATAATTCATATCAAGAAAAAGATGGTTAATATTAATTATTTATTAAAATGCTTTAGATTCGTTTACATCATATGTCTTTCTACTATTTGACTCAAAATCCTATTTATGAATCTAAACATCATTAAGATATTCTTAAATATATGGATGAAATGCTTATTATCTAATAATCTCTTACGAAATATTAAAATTAAGTGCCATACATTCAAAAGTTTGTCAATTTGAGAAACTAATAATTAAGAACATTAGAGATAATTATAAGTTATGTTAATTCCAATTACCCATATAATAAAAGTTTGATTATTCAAATATTTTATTATAAAGAAGTTAAGTTTTTGGATCAAAATTTAACTACTTTTGATTATCTCTTATACTTAAGAACCTCTATTTCTGAATTATAAGATGCTTTAATCTTAAAAAAGAAATTTGTAACTTCTATTAATTTACAAATTCTAGATCTTTCAAAAATTAATACAGAAGAAAGAATAACTGAAATTAAATCTGTTAAGATAAATTAGAAGAAAGAAACGAAGTAAAATTTATTGGAAACATAAAAATAATATTTAAAGAAACTTTCAGAGAAAAATAAATCAGAATAAGAATTTATAAATTCTAAACTAAAGAAAGAAGATGAAAAACTAAAAGTGGAGAAAGAAAATAAAATTGAAAGATTAAAGGCTAGATTACTTAAACAATCTATTGCATAGAAATAAGAAGAAAAAAATTATGAATTTTTAATAAAGAAATATAGACATCAATAAAATTTAGCTAATATTTAGATAGAGAAAGAAGAGAAAAATAGAAAAAATTTAGATTTATTGGGTTAATTGCTATATTTAACTTTGGATGCAAGATTTAAATTATACAAAAGTAATTAAAAAGAGACATATGATTAAATCTCAAATTTTTATAGTTAGCATATGTATTAGAAAGGTATTCCTAAGAAGTTTAAATTAAATACAATTTAATAATTATACGAGAGTATTTAGGAAATATCCAAAGAATTTAGAAATCAATTTAATTAATATTTTTTGGATAAATAAGTAAAATAATATCATAAAATTGTTAATTAATCCCAAAATTAAGAAGTAAATGAATAGAATCAATTATTATAAGAGGCAAAATAAATAGATTTTATAAATTTTAGTTTAACTATTTCTCTAAAACTTATGTATGTAATATAGTATCATAAAAGTTGTTATACAATATAGGCTTTTATAGATTTTGATATATTATAGGTGCCAAATTTAGATATTTATTCTATAAGAGATTATTTTTAATGGATAAGAAAGAATGCTGAATAAAAATTTGATTATTTATAAAAAAAAAGTGATGCTTAATTGAGATTAGAATGGACTCCATTTATAAATGAGTAAGTCAAATGTAGTGAAAGATAATAAGAAAAATTATTTGATTTGGTAAAGAGAATAAATCATTGTCATCTATTAAAATTTGAAGTTATTAGATTTATAATTAATGAATTATTGAGAGAATTGTTTGATGAAAATACATTTTAATTTGATTTAAGACTTTTAACTAAGAATTATATAGAATAATAAACAAAATAATAACTTGAAGATAAGATGAAATATTTTCCAAAGTTAAATTAAGAAATACTTTAATAGTTAGAGCCTTTTTTATATTATTTAGAAGAAAAAGTACTCTGTAATTTAGAAGCTTATTATATTTTATCAATAATTTAGAAAGAGAATGTATTAATTTCAAAATTAGAGTATATTATAAAAAGGAATGAATATTTTGAAGATGTAAATGATGCATAGAAATTTAAACTTAAAGCAATGAAATATATTTTAGAGAAGAATGAATTTAAAAATTAAAACTTAAATGAAATGATTAATGATTAGATGGAAAGAAATTAATAAAAATAAAAAATAGAATATTTAAAATTGTAATAATTGAATAATCAAAAAAGCGAAAAAGTTCTTATAAGAAAAGCATTGAATATAGAAATTGAATTGAATTATTAGAAGAAATAGAGCTTCTTTGTGAGAATATTAGATGAAAATAATGAATGGATTAGAATGGAAATAAATGAAGAAATGGTATCAGATGTAATGGAAGTAAAAAAAGAGCAAGAAAAATGGGTGATGAGAATAAGAAATGAAAAAATAAATTTTAGTCAAATTGAAATTAAAACGGATGTTATACCAAAGCTATATAACTTAACAATTAATGGAGAGAGAAGAAGTATAAAATTGGATGAGAATGTTTTAGAGCTAAGCCAATATTTAATATTAATATATGTTATCGATAGTGAAAAGGAATTAATTAATATTTATTAATATAAATGAAGATTCAATTTATAATTAATTTTATTTTTCTTTATGAATTTAATTATAATATTAATCCATTAGATTTTATTTGATTTAGTATATTGGTATAAAGATTAAAATAGTAACTTTGAAAATTTGATCATTCATAATTTAAATTAAATGGAATTGGCAATTTACATATATTTAGTGAGTGATTTTTTGATAGTAGGACTGAGTGTATACATCTGTTATGTTTGTAATTTTCATGATAATTATAAAAGAGAATTACAATTTGATGGCTGTGGGAACACTATTTGGTTTGTCAATATTACTTGTAACGATGGCCAACTCGAAATTTGATAATTAAAAACTCAAAGTAATTTTAATCTTGATAAGTTATTGTTCCAAATATTTGGGTATATGGTTTTTAGGTGATTCAGATGGAGTCAAGTTCTTACTTTAAGTAATAATGTGCTAAACTTAAATGTATAAGAGAATTTTTGATCATGCTTTTATATATGAATTAATTGGAATGTTTAGTTTAATTCTAAATATATTCAACCATGAAAGAATAGTCAATGATAATGCAGAAGTATTGACAATAGAATTAGTGATTACAATTAATATTTTAATCCAAATATTCAAGATCATGAATTAGAAGATTCCTGAGATTCAAAAACATAATTTAATAGAGAATTAATGTGTTATAGATATAAGTGCTCATTAAAAATTGAAATAAGATTACTAAATAACTCCAAGTTAATCACCAAGATTAGCATTTTAGAAATTATTCTAATCTAATCATTTCATGATTTTCAATGAGAATTTAGAAATTCTGGAGAGTAATTTTGATCTAAAAATACATTGTCTTAATGAATCACTTCCATAAAACAATATTTTGGTTTAATAATTTTTGTATTTGTAATTAATTTCATCTAATTTTGGAGAGAGTGAAAAAGTTTATGATTTTGAGGAATTCATGTTGAAATTTAAAGATGATCTTAAGTGTTAATTTGCATCTTTTATAATATAAAAGAGTTAATTTTTTGATTTGGAGAATGTAACATTAAACATAATGCCATTTCAAAAAGATGATAGTTATAACTTCATTGTTTCATTTTAATACTTAAGTTAAGTATTATTTAAAAGATTGAAAGATGATAGTACTAGTAATGTTTTGATGGATATCAGTCGTTCTCTTTCTCATGAATTAGGTACTAATCTTAATAGTATAATGGTATTTTCTAATTTGGCTTTTCATGATAATGAGGTTCCAGATTAAGTAAAAGAGAAGTATATATCACCACTTAAATAAATAGTGAACAACTCAACTTAATTGTAAGTAATATAAGAGATTACAATTTAATAAGTTTGCAACAATTCAATCTAAAATTAGAAGAATTTAATATTAATGATGAAGTTAAATATATTGAAACACTTGTGATGGATATCATCAATAATAAGTTAATTGAGTTGGTACACGATTATCAATTAGTAAATCCTATTATCATTAATGATCGCCAACGATTCAGATAAGTATTCTTTTAATTCTTGAGTAATGCTGTTAAATACACTGCTTAGGGTACTATACGTATTAAAATTGAAACTAACAAATCATAATGTTAAATCTCAATTTAAGATTCAGGTCCTGGATTGGTAATATATATATTTATATATTAATAGTCTGAAGAAGAAATGGCCAGAATGTAGAATATTCTTATTGGTAAAAATCAATTTGTAAAGATTTCTACACATTCAGTTGGAAGTGGTTTAGGTATTGGAATATCAAATAGCATAATAAAAAAAATGAATTGCTTAAATATTCCTATAGCTTGTGATCATAAAGAGAAAGGAACTATTTTTTCATTTTATATAAAAAATCATATAAATGAAGTTAGTAATTAGGACAATAAGAAATCTTTAGAACTTAAATCAAGCAGATCTATGATCAAACTTATTTCTGTTAATTCATATATTGAGTAACCTTTTAGTAATTCAGTTAAATTCATATTACCCTCTATTAATCAAAGCAATGATTCAGTACATTACAAGACCTCTCTTTTTGATGATGATTAAGTTATGAGATAAACAAAATTAATATTAGTATAAGATTAGTTATCTGTACCTATTAGTGAAGAAGAGTATATCATAATTTAAGAACCACGATTAATGAGTCCTAAATTTCAATGTGAAATTATTGAATGCTCAATTCAAAGTAATTGTTGTGCTAGGGTTTTAATTGTTGATGATGAATACTTTAATATTTTGAGTCTCTAACTTTTAATGCAAAAACATAAAGCCAAATGTGATTATGCATATAATGGTAAAGAAGCATTAGATAAAATTATTAAAAAAGCAGAAATTGGATGTCAAATTTGTTAAAATAAATATTATAGTCTTATTTTTATAGATATCAATATGCCTATCTTAGATGGGTATTCAACTGTTAAAGAAATCAAAAATCTTATGAAAAATAAAACTATTAGAAGAGCATGGTGTGTTGCTAATACTGGATTTACAGATCTTGAAACTAAATTATAATCATTTGCTGCTGGAATGCATTATTTTCTTACAAAACCTTTAGATGCAAAAAACCTTCATAATCTAATTGTTTAAATGTTTCCATTACAAAAATGAATAAATTCTAAATTATTATTTTAATTTATATCATGTTTATCAAAGAAATTGGAGATTTAGATAATTAATCTATCAAATTATTACTAATATCGATAATCCATATTTCTAACAATCTACTATAAAATTATATGCGTCCTCAATATTTTGTACTTAACTAACAAACACTTCTGATTGTACTTAACTAACAAACACTTCTGAGCATCAAGACAATAATCATGATTTTCACTTTTCAACTGTAACACATTCATTAGAAATGTTACTTGATAGTTATGCCTCAATCAATCAGATTATAACTATTTCTGAATTTAATTGTTAACTAACTGCATCTTAATTAATAATTGAATTATGTAATAAATATGTTGCTTTAATTCATTAAATTCAGAATTTAAGATCAATATAGCGATAATATGAGTATTGGAATATGAAATGACTATGTAATAACGCTAAATGATACACTTTACAAATGTTAGGCAAATATCATTTAAAATATTAGAGAGTTATAAAAATAGTAGTATTCTTAAATTATAAAATTATTTAACTTTTTGAAATAAACAAATGATGAAGAATAGTTATTATAAAATAAAGAAATAAATGGAATAGAGAAAACATTACCTGAGTATGCAAGTGATGGTGATTGATTTTATAAGGTATTTTCCATTCGTATGTTTTTCACTAGAAGTAATAAAAATCTTTTCATATTTATTGACTGTGATCTAGTAGAAATTAGGGAGAAAATATGATTCAAAATCAAAATAAGTTTTTAATTATTAGAAAGTCTTGTTAAATACAGATTAAATAATATAAATATTCAGAGGTTTATATATTGATCAAGGTTTTTTGTTTACATTTGATTAGACAAGAAACTTCATTATTATCAGAATTACCTTTTGAATATAATTTTTAAAGTTCTTAGGGAATAACATCCTTATTATTATTAAGAAAACCATTGTATTTTTATATTTTTTGATTTGCGACAAGATAAAATGAAGTAATTAGCATCACGTCTATAGTTTATTAACATAAAATAAATTCATATAGCTAATTTTGAATGAGATTTCTAATAAAAATTTAAATTTAGCATATTATTTAATTTATTGTGAAAACTATATCGAATAATGTAGAAAGAATAATAAGTGAATGATTTATTGTTCAAAATTCTCTGAAAAAATTGCTAAAAATATTGATAGTATTAAGTTAAGATATTTATATGCCAAACAATCTTAGATATCAGATTACTTCAATCAAATTGGATTCAGGTACAACAATGTTAAGTGCAGCTAAATGTCCTATTCTTGTGATTTTCTTATGTAGAAAATAAGAAGGACCTAATAAATATATTGAAATTAAAATAAAAAAGATAGTTTTGGGAAAGCTTTAGAATTTGAATTAACTAAATAATTAAAAAAAAAGATATTTAAAAAAGTTTCTCATTTTTGAATAAGATCTTTTACTAGTTAATGAAGATAAAGGATAACTCTTTATTAATGAATTAGTAAAACCACTAAAAAGTAATGGATAGAATTAAATAATGAGTTAAAAGTATGCAATCCAATTATAAGGATTCTCTTATTTAGAAATAATAACTTTTCTTTGAAAAACATATTTCTAAATAAACAACTCCACGTTCTAGTCTTAGAAGATAAACTACTAATTATAATAATAATAAGAAATCAAATTTTGTATCTATAAAGTGTTTGATGATATATAATATAAGATATAACAATCTTGCATTATAAATAATAAGTATGTTTAAAGGAGTATTTGAAAGAGGTGGATTAGATTTACATGTTTTTTCATATAAAACTATCTCTAATAGAACAAGGTAATCTCTTAATTTAGTTGTGTAAACTAATTAAAATACAATTTCTAGAGATCAACTTGATAAAATCAATCGATGTATTCTTATAAAAGATAATCTCATTCCTCTATGAATATTTATACAATTATTTCATGGCTATAACAAATTTGGAAGAGAAGATTCTCTTCAATTCTAAATAGCGATGTCAAATTGATTGAAGAGATGATTTAAATCATGGGAGGAGAATTATATTATCATTTTTTTAAGGCATTTAATTATTATGTCGATCTAACTCTGAGAGCCTTTCTAGCAATTAGACATTATTATGAGCATTTCTAATATTTGGTAACTCTCATGATCAATTTAGGATTAGGATGTCATGATAGATTCTAAGAAGAATTTTACTGAAAGATTTTAAGTAATTCTATTTTTAGATTCATATAGTTTTTAAAAAAATGATCTCACAGCTATTAAGTATATGTAAAACACTATTGAAGATTTTAATGATAAAATAACAACTAGATGGTATGATAATATACAATATTATCAAAATGGAATATCAAGATGATATTACGTAATACATAGTGTATATATAAAATTTATATTATTTTTAAAACGGATCTATGATCACAGGAAATTTGGCTGAACTTATATGGGAAAGTGTCGAGCTTGCCCTTAATGTTCTATTGTACTCCAGATTGAAATTACCACACAAAGTCATTACTCAAGGTGTATTACGCATGTCATATGTACGAGAATGCAATTACAACTTTGGAGTCGATACCAAGGTACATAAGGATGCACATAGGTTACTAGATTGTTAGATATGTTGTTGCCTCACTACTTACTCCAAATATAGTTAGACACTTTCGTTATTCAATTGATTCTTATCACTTCATATATGGCTGCTTCATGTGCTTTGATACTTTACTTGTAATGGATATCTTACCAATTACTGATACAATATATGCCATAATTATCATTTTACGTTTGTTCAATCTATTATAAATAATACTAAAAATTAGCAAAGCTGCCCTATCAATAAAGATTCATAATAAAAAAGGTTCAAGAATTTAATAAAATTCAATAAATCAGATAAATTCAATGACCTAGTGTAATACAACAATATAAAATTAAAAAAAGCTTGAGGTGTCTCCTCCTAATTCAATTTAAACTACAAATGCGAATTCGTTAATGGAATTTGAGAGTTGCCACAAATAAAAGAAAAGAGCTATATTTCCTAATGTTTACTAAATAAAAGTATTGATATCGAAAGGATCGAAAGTGAATATAATAATTGATGAACCTGAGAAATTTGATATACTATTTGATTAATAATTAAACTTAGATAGAAGGATGAATCTTTAAATAAAGTTGAATTTATGTGCTTAAGTTTATTAGAATTTGAAAAAACATTATCCGTGTGAATGGCTTCTTAGATAGATTGCTTAATATCAAGCTGAGTTGTTACTTTTAGATTAATGATTTTTTCTTTAACCCGTTTTTTTATTTTAATTAATGAAATTGCTTGTGTTGCTATGCATTGTGAGTCTCACATTTGCAGATCCTAAAATTGACTTTTTCATGAAGCTCAGTGAATCTGATTTCGGAAGAACAATCTTACAAACAATATAAGTTCAAGAGTACAATATTAAAATTAAATCCTAAGAAATAATGTTGAACGTGTGTTATAGTTTATTAGACAATTACAAGTAGATATTAATGCAGCTTAAACTGAACATACAAACTATTTATAAAATAGAAATGGATAGATAATACAATATATTAATGAGGCTGATAAAGCTTTAGCTAAAGCTTAATAATAAAAAGCATAAGATGAGGCATAGCGTATACTAATTATTTCTAATATATAATAGTTCCTTTAAAAGAGGAGGAACTTAATGATAAAAGAGCATAAGGGGAATCAAAATTTGCTGAAAAATAACGTAATTTAGATCGTATTGCTGCACTTACAGCCGAAAGAGAAGAGAATAAGAAAGCTTATGATTAAAGAAGAAGTGAGATTGTAGGATTATTGGCTGCCTTAAATTAAGGAAAGAAACTCATTTAATAAATAAAAACTGGATCTGTTTTTACTCAATAAGAGATATTTGCAGAAATAGAGCATCATCATAAAAAATTCATTTCAAGATTTCCAGATAGAAGAGGTTTCAATTCCTTAGTTTCTCTATCACTTGCTATGGCCTAAGATTCTACATTAAAATCTGATTAATCTGCACTTGAAAGAGTAGTTTAAGTAATTGAAGATTTGGCTGATAGCCTATTCTAACTGTACAAATTATTTACATAATATTATTAGACAAAAATAAGAAATGGAAGCTGATGATGCTAGAGAAGCAGCATTTTAATAAGCAATGTATTCATAATTTTAATATACAGTGCTCGTTTGGAAATTGCAAATCAATCATTGGAAGGTGCTGTTGCATACTTACATGCTTAAATCTTAAGATTAGAATAGGCCCTTTTAGAATTATAAAATGATATCAATACATAAACTCAAGTATATTCTTAGGTTTATTATTACAGATGATCTAAAATAAAAAAAATGAAAAAGCAGATTGGTTAAGTATCCAAAGAGATGAGACTAAATCATATGGAAAATAAACTGAAAATAGGTATTAAATTCTAAATATAATAGAAAATCTTAATTAGATTTATTAGGTGAAACAGAAAATGTATTTGTGAAAGGACCCTTGACACCTGAATAGCAATAATTCTTATAACATTTAAAGTGATTAATATAAATGAAAATTAATAACAATAATAACAATGATACGTAAAATTCTTAGGCATAAAAGAATTTTAATCAATTAATCAAGCTTGAGGCAGATGATTTCAAAAGACAGTTCAAATTTATAGATAAAGAGAAACTATTTATGGAACTTCAAAATTACAAAATTGAGAATAACAATCTAAAAGAAGAGAACACAAAGTTGCGAACACGCATCTAATAGACAGAGGTAAGCCAAACACATATGCTCAGAAAGAGCTCCTCAATTATGAGAGACTTTGTGAAAACATGACCGAGTAGACACCCAATAAGAAGAAGGCCAATGAGTTGCTACTAATACAACTCAAAAAATAGAACAAAGACCTCCAATTGTAACTCAAAGAACGTACAGTCTAAGTTGAGCACCTTAAAAAAAATACCAAGGTCACCAAATTTCAAGAACTTGAGTGTGATCGAAAGGCCTATTTTGATGAAACCGTGCGTATGCGTAAACTCATAGAAGAGAGCTAATCATAATACTAATCTATGTTAAAGTACATAATCTTTATTTCTAATTAATAGTAAATATAATTAGAGTCTTTAACTTGAAAGTGAAGTTTAGAAGCTACTTAAAACAAATGAAAATCTGATTGCTGAAAATAAAGCTCTTAATTAAAAGAGTCAATAATCAGATGAAATGATGCGTTAGTTATAAGTATTATGTCGATACATTTATTTAGCAATTGTACAAAGTTAATTAATAGAAACAGTAAACTTTAGACAAACATATCTAAGATCTAAAAAATTAAATTAAGAAATTATAGACAGATAAAATAAATTTAAAATAGACAATAAAGTAGATGTAGGAAGCATAATACTAGCATATTTAATAAGTGAAACCAAAAAAAGAACCAACTCCTAGACAAGGATAATTACCAAATTAAATTTTGGAGGAATTAAGATTCAAATTGATATACCGTGGTATAACAGTTGAATAATTTGCTGAAATGTTGGAAGGTCTGAAATAGTAAGCAAGAGAATAAAACGTGACAGTAAAAGTGGATGATTTAAGACATATATTTGCTTCGTAAATAAATTTAGATTAATTATAAATAGAGAGCCATTTTCATATACAGATGGAAACAAAGTTCAATTGATATTAAACTCATTAACTGGTCATGGTAATCAATTAGTGGAGAATTTAAAATCATTGATCGGAAATTATAAGACATTTTTGAATTTTCCAACATTTGATTTTGAGTAGGCATAGGTAAAGATGAAAAGTCAACTGAAACAAAATGAAAAAAAAATCTAAGAATTTTGGAGTAAATAAAAAGTAAAAGGAGATGTAGTATCAAAATCAGATGTTCGTAAGATGTTAAATTCTTTATCATTAAATTGGTAAGAACCTGAGAATTTATTCTATTTTTTATAATTATTTGAGAAATCAGGTGAAGATCTATAACATATTCCATTATTAGATACTTATGATCCATTTACTTTGGATGATCCATCGTAATAATAATAAGTTACAGGACATTAGAATATGAGAATATCAGAAGAATCAGATGAAGAATTATTTGATAAATAGAGTTAAGATTATTCACTTGATGAAAATGCAGCAAAGAAAAAGAAAGATTAAGATTAAGGAATAGTATTTCGTGATGAAGGTTAAATAGTTTAAAAATAAGGAAAATAATAATAAGAGTTAGAATAATAATCAGGATTTTAGTAAGAAGAAGAAGAAGAAGAAGATAATTATAATGAAAATTATGATGAAAATGAAAAATAAAATGAAAATTATAATGAAAATGAGGAGGAAAATTATTAAGAAGAAGAGAATAATAATTAATAAAAAGGTTCAGAATAAGAAAATGAACAAATGCATGATCAATATGAATAAGAGGAATATGAATAAGATCATTAAGAAGAATAGTAAGAAGGACATTAAGAAGATGAATACGAAAATTAAAATTAAGAAGATGAAAATTAAAATTAAGAAAATGAAAATAATAATCAAGAAGAATAATAAAATGAATATGAAAATGAAGAATTTGATTGATTTATTTAAATAAGAATAAGAGTACGCATTTATTTATATTTTTATTACGCATTCTAAATTAATTAATTATTAATTACTAATTTTAAAGTACACACTTCTTTTCAATAAATACATATTTATAATTGATTATTAGAATTTATACTCACTCTAATTGTCATAAATACAAATTATAAAATATTAGTTAATTAATAAATTGAATAAATCATAGTCTAATCAACTAAAAACATAATTGGATGAACATTTCTTAATTTCTAATTATGATTATAATCAACTAACATATAGAGATATTTTAGATAGATAAAATAGAAAAAACAATAGACATCAAATGTCAAATTCAAGAATGATAAATGAATTCCAAAATTAAGTAATGTGAGGTTAAATAATAGAAAAACTGTTACGGGTGATCAATTAGCAAACTAAATGCAATATTATGTGGAATAGTAAAAGAGGAACCTATTAAACTAATTCTATGGTTCTCTCATATAAATTAGTGTTGTAAAGATTTGTAAATGTATGACTGTAGAAGTATAAAAGATGTTTTGCTTATGGTAAATCCATGTGATACAGTATTTGGTGGATGAAATATTAATTTAATGAATTCTGCTGATGCTATGAATAGAGTATAAATTGTTCATTATTATTTACAATAAAAATTGAGACCATGTTTAGAAAAGTTAGTTCAATTATCATCAATATATTTTGCAGATTTCGTTTCAATCAAGGAGATAAATCTAATTATGGAATATTACAGATTCAAAGAATAAAATAATTTAGATCAAATAATTAGTTTTTTTATAGACAACTAATATTAAACTCAAAATTATAATTTTATATAATCATTTTGGAAAGAATCTTATAAGAATCATTTAATAAAATTAAAAAAAGAAGTAAGAAGATCTGTGTCAGATATTTTGTAAACTTATAAAGTATGATACCCAAAATGGAGGAATTAACTATTGATCATACAATAGTAATTAAATATTGTTCTGAATACATAGCTGGAATATTTTTGGGTGGAAGATAAACTTTTGCAGAATACAATATTTGTGAGGATATATTATTAGCTGTTTCATTGATAATTGAAAGTATATAGGTTGTGTTATTTGATGAAATATGGAAAATGTGAGAATGGAATCAACCACAATTAATTATATATGAAGATAAAGATCAATGTTTGAAAATGTTGTAAAAGTATGTGTAAGATTGACAGTAGATGATAAATGTCTTGTGTATGGTGCTAGTAGAATTTTATATGATTATTAATTTACATTTTATTAATATTAGTAATTCAATTATATTAAATCATCATAAGACATATAGGATTTATTTAATTTTCTAAAAATAATGAAAATGCTTGATGATATTAAATAGTAGGTAGAGAAAGAGATGAGAAAGTTTGATCCTCGATTGGCAGAAAAGAAGTATTTGAAGATTACTTAATCAATTAAGGATTTGTTTTTAAAAACAGTTGTTTGTGAGAAATAAACTATTGAAGCTGTAAATGGAAATATGAAGTAAGGCTGCAAATTCTATTGGTATCAATTATTCTTCAGCTAAAGCGATATGGGCTGAATTTAGAGTAAAACATAAAATGAAGAAAAATAAGAAAACAAATGATGAAGAGTATAACAAGTCAGAAGTAGTGAAAAGATGTCAAAACAAAATTTTAAATGGATGTAATAAATAAGATTAAGAAATTGTTTATGGAATTAAATCATCTGTTTCATAACGTTTGAGTTCTACATAGATGATTTCTTTGGAGTAGCATATATGAATAATATTATTTAATTAAAATGAGTGGAGGCACACGAGTTAATTAATATTTCCAAAGCAATAATCGCAGAGGATGTAGTGCTCTTAATAATGAAAAATTAGATACTAGCATTCATACTCCAAAAATGAGATTGTAAAATTCAACTAATGATTAACTTGTTATACAAAAGAATCATCTTCTTTAATTAAAATAAAGTCCATCATTTAAATTAAAAAATCATAGACTCTCATTAAAATAAGATGAAACTAAAAAAATAAACAATATCTCATAAACTTATGCTAAAAAAACTAGAATAGCAGTCTTAGAATCTCTTTATCATTAATTTGGAACTGATGATGAACACATTTCTCTTATTAAAAATACATAATAAGTCAAACTATAACCTATCATTCAAACACCCTTATCTCAAACTACATATTTTGGAAAGTTAAACTAATTCAATTAAAATTAAAACATAGAAGAACTACATTTCCAATTAGTCAATATCTAATAAAAATATAAATATTGGCTTGAAAATTTTGAAAAGAAAAATCACAGCAAATGATCTTATTAATTCTTTTTTTGTACTTTTATTAATTTTATATATATAAATATGGAAGAAATCAAATTTTCTCGTAGATCTTAATCATTTACTGTTTTTTAAAGTAATCTCTATAATAGATTCCTTGATATGCATGATGAATTGTCAAAATCTTCCAAAAATATCAATAATCTTATCAATCATAGTCTTAAAAAATTATCGAATAACTAAGAAGGTGTTAGATTTAGTTTTTCTGCAAATTCTTATAATCAATTAGAACTTAACTCGTTTGAAGAAATCATAGAAGAAGATTTAGAATTAGAAACATAACCTTCAAATAATGAAAGAGAATTAATTTTGGAAAATAAACTTAAGATCTATGAATCTGCTCTTAATACATTTGAATAAGAAAACATACAAAAAGATCTTGAAATTATTAGACTCAAAAAATTGTAAATAATATTATCAATAATATCTCTATAGGTTAAATGATTAAAATCTTTAATAAGCTATATAGAATCCAGATGAAATTTATTAAGAATAAAGTGTTATCAAATAGAAAATAAAAGTATTTGATAGTTAATAGGATTATTAATAAGAGAGAAAGGATCTTCAGAACAAAACTAAAGAATGGGAAAACAAAATAAAAGAATAAGCAGATTTAATAATTAGTTAGAAACTGGAAATTAATCGATTAAAAAATATAAATTCATACTTGCATAAATCAATTGAAAAATTATAAAATTTATGAAAATATTCTAATGGATATATAAAATGAAATATCATATTCTAAATAAACATAGAAACTATTATATGTTATATATCTGACTCATCTATAAGAAATTAGTAGTAATACCCCTTTCTTCAATTTTTAAGTGTTTGATTTATGGTATTATAAAATTCATAGAAATAGGACCAATTTCATTTCTAGCTATATTTGCAATTATAGAGTTAATGTAATCTAAGAATGTATATTAAAAAAGGATGAATAGTTTTAATGATCTCTCATATCCATAAAGAAGTTTCTTATGAAGCATTTTTGTTTAATTCAGGGTATGCATTAGCAGTTTATTTTGGAACTAGGAATACGAATATTATAATAAGAGGCAATAATTTAGCATCAAAACATGCTTTTAATTTTATGGTGACTTGAATTTTAGATTAAGAAACTTCTACAATAATGGGAGATATAGAATAATTTTCACTAATAAGATAATTAATAACAACAAATTAACCATCTGAAGGTTGAAATAAGTAAAGTTTTATTCATATCTAATTCATTTATATTAATACTAATTATTTACCTGTTTATAAATTCTTATTTAAAGCTAATTTTAAAGGAAGATTTCCTATTAAAAAAAGATGTTATTTAAATCTGTTACTGATCTTTAGACAGATGAACTTAGAATAGTATTTGAAATAACTATTTTTCTAAGTTTAAATTTTCGGTCAAATAGAGGTGATAACTGAATAGGATCATTTAAAATAAGTGGTTTAATTTATTAGTTGCCATAAGTTTATGATAACCAAAATCAAATGATTCATCCAAATTCTAATATCAAAAGTAAATAAAGGAATAGGTTTTTTCTGTATGGGGAGAATATTTAGATAAATGAGATCTGAAATGTGTATTGATTATAGTATCACCTGTTGGATATAATATTAATATTTAAGAAAACATAATTATTTATATATATATTTATTTTGTATCAAGCTCTTGCAATGATATCTTGTACATTATGAACTTCATTGATCTTTTTTAAGGCATTTCTGAATGCACTTCTATCAATTGATCTATCATCAAATAGATATTTGATTCTTTTTTCTCTATAAAGAAGTGGAAGCCATAAATTTGTATATCCAAAAAGTATTCCTTCAAAAACAAATCTTTTAATTTAAGAATCTTAAGCAGTTAACATTGCCCATGTGTTACTTAATTTAAATGATTATTTCACTTAATTCAAATAATCAAATTATACTGTATCCCAACCATGATAATCAATTGACTATAATTCCCAAGCAAATTCTTTATTCTTTATACCATTGAAAAATAAAGACCAAAATTCTGTATCTTTGTAATCCTATAAACTCACTACTACATCGACTATATTTTATGTTGATAAATATTTAGCATTTTATTTTAAGTTTTACAATAATATCTCTGTATTCACATCTTTTAATAAAGCATTATTTCTAATCACATATAATAATTATGCGCTTGTCTCTACTTCTTATTACCAATTATTATTTTTTATAAATGATATTGCTTCTAAAGCACATTAAGCTGAAAATTAATAATTCAATTATGCTTCATCCTTCAAAGCATCTACTGCATTAAATTATTAAGCTTCATATGTTAATGCACTTGCTATTTGACTTAAAGAAAATGCTGTTAATTCATGTCCTAATTTCATTAACTCTCTTTCTTACCTTATGGTAATCCACTATAACGATAAGTAGGATTATAAAATAGGTTTGCAGAATTAAAACTCCATCTTCCTGGGTTTATTATTAGTTTGTTTGCACTTCCAAATACAGAGGCACTCACAAACTTAGAATAATTTTTAAATAATCCTGACATTTATATTTATTAAATCTCAAATCATCAAATTATTTATTTAATTCATTATTCCACTTATCATCTTATCTAATATCTCCATTATACATTTGCTATTCATCCTAATTGTTTACTTTAAATTATACATTCAATTAATAACACTCAAATTCATTTCAATATACTTTCTTTTCATTTTTTTATTATTCTCATTTATTCTATTATTATTTTCATTTATAATTTATATCATCATCCTTTCTTACTAATAATCTAATTATTATAATTAAATTTATGTTCTCATATCATCATATATTAAAATCAATCAAAATATATTATGAAAGATTACTATTATAAATCAACATTATATATAAAGAAAGCTATTTTCTTTATGTTAAAAACTATCAGCCAAAGTTAAAAACTATCAGCCAAAACATCAATACCATTAATCCAAATGGTTTAAAACATTTCCTTCTTGTTTCCTTCTTTAATCCATAAATGCTTCTTATTACATAGAGACATAAATATGATGATGGACTAATTGATAAAGGAAGAGTCAAATATTATATTAACTCTGCTTCTTTATATATTGGACTATGTTGGTTTTTATTGCATTTACACATATTCTTAATTGCATCTTACTTATTCATATCCTTATTTGATAATTATTATTACCAAAATCTATCTTTAAGTGGAACTCTAAAATTTTAATCTTTTTTTTTTTTATTGCAACAAATTAACACTGTTCATAAATATCTTAGTTCTTTTTAGATTCATACCTTTCATCATCTCTCTATCCTATTAATTCTCTTGGTATTTTTAATAAATATTTACTTATTCCAAAACAATACTTTACATCTCCATATGTAAATAAACACACAATCATACTCCATATTTTGATGTTGATAATTTGAATTATAGATTTATATCTATGAGTTTTCTTTACATTTAAATCAACTTTATTCAAAATTTTAGCTTGATTACTCTTTTTAATCCTATTGATACATTAGTCTCAAATTCATAAGGTTCTTTTTTGACTAATTATTAATTATTCATATTAATATATATTATTAAATATAACAGAAAATATAAATATATTGTTCACAATATTTTTTATTCATTCAAAATCAATTATATCTATATTCATATTTTTATACCATATTATATCAATTCATAGAAATTTTTTAATAATATATAAATAATAAGGATTTTCCATTTCTCAATATGGATATTTTCAAATCAATTTTATATAAAATTCATTGTAATTATAATACTATTTAATCTACATATTTTCTTAGTTTGATAAATTTATCAGTTTAATAAATTTCTAAAATTTAATTTTGCTCTTTTTAAGTAATTAAATCTTTGATATTATAATTTTCAAATTAAGTTTTGATCACTATTTTAATTGTAATTTAATACCTGAAATAATATTTTCTAATCCTTTCAACATTTCTTCAAATAGTTCATCATCCTACAATTAATCAAAAAAATGAATGAAATGTGAAATAATTTGATTTTAAACAAGAATTATAATAACATCTTTATTTTTTGAAAGTGCTAAATTTGCTAAAGATGAAAGAATATGTTTAATTTTAAGGTTCTTCAACAACTATAGTTATTGAAAAATTTCTTAAACTATTATTTAGTTTTCTACAAGTGCTTTTTATTAACTTTCTGTTCCTTTACATATTTAAAGAATACAAGATAAAATCTGAAATAAAATGAACTTATACATTTATTTTATTAATTTTAGATCTATCCTCTTTTAAGAAATTTGCTACAACTTCTAAGAATTTAAAAGATAATATATGATCACATATTTCTCCACCACACTCAATTAGATGATTAATCAACTCAAATGATCTAAGACTTATTCTTCTATTTTTGTGAAAGATCAAATTTAATAATTTAGGTGTAATTTTTTGCTCTAAAATGACATTATAATTTTCTTATGAAGATGGAATACTTTGACATAAAGATTATAAACAAGTCACTATTAGAATCTCATCATCAAATTTATTTAAGCAAATACACAATTATTAAATTATCATATTGACAGTCTCTTTTCTTAGAAATGATATTCCATCTGAACAGATATTGTTAATGCTCCAAAAACATTATTCAATAATTTTAGGATCCTATAATTTATTCAATAAATTAAGTATTAATTCTACTCCACCTTTTTATCTCACCTAATTTCTACAAATTTATTATAAATCTCCTTCAATTGTAATATTACCTAATGTCCAACTTGCTTATAATGCAATTTATTAATAAGATGAATTCAGTTTTTGAATTATTACATAAACACCATCATTTTAAATTATTAATTTATCAAATGCTCCTAAAGTAGCTAAATTACCAAGAATCCATAGAACATCATATTAAATTAATGGAATATCATTAAAATTGAGTAAATGAATCAATTATGGGATTATTCTTTATGCATTTGTTATTCCAATACCAAGATCTTCAAATCTATCTAAGTCGTGCTTTGTTAAATATTTTTTTAAAGTGAATAATTCTGTATATAATGGAATAATATCCTCTGATTCTAATTTAATTTTAATCAAATCAGCTACTTCAATTTCTTAAAAAAAGCTTTATTTTATAACTTCTACAAATTAGTCAATTAATTTTTCAGGAATTGTATCAGGTAATAATTATTTTGAAACCTTGATTTCCTCTATAAAATCTGAATCATACTCTAAATCAATTAATTATTGGAGCTGTTCTTCTTAAATTGACATTATTTCTAAATAAATTAATAATTCAGAATTAAACCAGATATTTTTAAACACATATATCGGACCAAAATTATAGGTAGAAAAAAATCAACAAATTTAAAATAAACTTAAAAATTTCAAAGTAGTATGATCATCAAATTCACTAAAGTTATTTAGGAAATTATTAGTTATCTAAATCCTTTGTAATTCATTTAAAAATAAATCATAAACAATTTAATTTTATTATTTATTGCAAAGGTTTCTTGATTTGCCTTTATTGATTAAGATATATAAATTTTATTTATAATAGACTTAATTATATTGTTTATTGAATGAAAGATAAAGTTATAAATGAAGAAATAACTTTCAACTTTAATTTTTATATTTTAATTTTTTGAATCATTTTTACTACATACTAATAATCAATATTAATATTAGATATTAACGAAAAATGAAAGAGCTAATTAACGAAGAATTATTGATTTTTCTTCTATTAGATATATAATTATACCATATTTAGATTCATAATTTGTTTAAATTTTGAATTCTTAATATTTTATTGATGCTCATTGATTCTTAAATAATTAGTTAACAAGAATCTTTTTACAAAAACATGCTTTCAAAAACTGAATTTTACTATTCTAATATTTGTTAGTTAATTATATCTTAATTATGTAATTAAATTTTAACGATTTAAAAATCAATAAGAATGTTTAAATCATATTTTATGATTGAAAGGAAAGGCTTTTAATTTTACTTTTATAATTTTTTGGTTAGATATCTAATTCTTTTGTTGTAATATATAAATTCTGCTTGGCTAATTATTATTTTAGTTGTTTTATCTATACTATGAATAACTCTACATCTAAAGATAATTAATGTTAGAAATTCAAATAGGGATAATAAAATAAAGTGTTTACTATTAAGATTAAGAATTTGTTAATATATATTAAAAAAATAAAATTTCTAAGATATTTTATAATTTAAATATTTATGAAATATCAGATTTGTTGGTTTAACGCTTTCTTTGTCACTTCAACAATTTATCCAAAAGCTATCATACGTCTATTATCCACAATAGCTATCTTACCTAGATCAGGATAATCTATATATTTTTCTACAGTTAACTACTTAATTGGTCGAAATTAAACTAAAGCAGTATCACCCGCTTCTAAAATTTTAGAATTTTCAATATTTTAATTTTTAGTACTGACTTTTTATGAAATCTCTTCAATACAGCATTGCATTCGTATAGTAAAGAAATGTAGAGTATAATACTATTTTACCTTAAATTATTGTTTAACATCATCTAATATTTTTAATTATACAATAAAGGATGAACATTCTTAAACAGGATCCTATTCAAAATTAGAACATAAATATCCATTTTTAATTTCCTTATATTATAAATTTGCCAAATTAAATCCAATTAAGTTACCAGGAATTGCTAAATCTAAATAAAAATGATGAGTTTCAATTGCTTTTACTAAAGATTAAAAGGGTATCGGAGCAAATCTTAAATACTAATTTGGTTTCAATTGACCATATAGTAATTTACCTAGGGCTACAGTTCCAATTCCTGGAATACGAATACAATCATAAATGTTTATTCTAAGTGGTTTTTTGATTAAGTGTTATTCATCATCATTTGGTATTTAATCTAAAGCTTCAATCAAAGTAGGACCTTTATACCAATTCATATTTTATATTTTTTTTTAAATATTTTCAGCTTATTTTAAAGATATTGGAATAAATTAAATATTTTTTGTATTTATTTAAAATTTTTCTAAACGTTTGGAAAAATCATCTACAACATATTAATAACAAAATTATTAATATTCAACCAAATCCATATCATTGATTACACAAATAAAATGTTTCTTTTCCATAGCTATACATAAATGAAACTGTAATTCAAATGTAGTATCTAATTAAAAACTTTACTAATATTTATCATTCACAGCACTCAAAACAAATACTACTATATCTCCATAAGCAATCCCAATTTACATTTAATTTATGTATTAATGTTATCCAGGGATATTAATCAGAGTGTACATTTTTTACTTTATTGTAACATGATTAGTCGAAAATATTTAAGTTTATTTATTATTTCTCTCTTATCTTAGTCTATCCATCAAAAATGTATATCTAAGATCAGGTTTTTCTTAAACATGTGGATGTTCATCGATTCTTTCTAATGCATATGGAGAAGCATGATTTAGTTCACTTACTATAAGCCCAGATATTGTTGATTTTCCTTAACCATGCGCTCCCAAAAAAACAACAGAATGATTCTTTAGTTCTTATTACATTATTTCTTTAATAAACTTTATTAAAAACTATTTCTTTAAATTACTAAATTCAATTATATGGAATAATATGGAATAATCTTGCAGTTTAAATAAATATATTATTCTATCAATTAGGTTAATGAATGATATATTTCATAAAATTAGGACAATAAAAGTGTAAAACAAAAAATATATTTAAATATATAAATAAATAAATTGTTGCAATACTTTGAAATAAATTTTATAAATGCTAAAATTAGATGATAAAAACTGATTGATTGACAAGTAAACATTAAAATTAAAAATAATTTTATATTAACTTAATTAATGAATAAACAAAACTTATAAGAATTTAAAATAAACATATGTTAAAATACTTTATGTTAAGTTAGATAGGATCATGTTTTATCATTATAATATATGATTTAATGCTAATATTATCATAATAATAATGACAAAAGAAGAGACAGTAATAATTATAAACCAATATTGACTAAAACAATAAATCAAATGATTTTTGCAATAATATTATTGAATATTTGTATCATCCTCGTAAATACGGTACTCTTCCATGCGATTTTTTAAAGTATAAATAAAAAGATATAAAACACTATCAGATCTTAGAATTGCAATGCTAGACATTGTCCATTTAAACATGATGAATTTCAAATAAAATAAATATTTCAAAATAAAATATTCACCAAACTAAATTAGATCATAGAGAGCATATCAAAAGAGAATGATGGATGATATATATTAAAATAATTAGTTATTATTTAATTCTAAAAAATACATTCAACATATAGAGATAAATTAATTTCAAGACTTGAAACTTGAATTTAAATAATTTAGGGAGATTAGAATGGAATTAATAAAGAATTACATATGTGCATTTTTAAATTCTTGAGGTGGAATCTTATATATAGGAATCAATGATAAAGGAATGGTTTAAGGAATAAAAATGACTAGAAAACAAATAGTTGACTTTCAAATCGAACTTGATAATAATCTTAGACATTTTGATTCAATAGTGTTTCCAGAATAAATTGAATTAATGTCTGTACCCATTTACAAAGATGAACTAATAATTATATAAGATTTATTTATTATAGAGATAAAATTTAATGTTGTAGATAAATAATAATTATATTTCACAAATTTAAATGAAGCTTACATTTAAAGAAATGCAACAATTAATTAATTAAAACCTAAAGAAATAAAGTAATATTATATATTGTATAAATAGAGATTTAGTACTTCTTAAATTAATGAATTAATTTTATATTTGTACATATTAATTGATATAAAAATAATACTAATCATAAAGTTTTAAATCATAGAATTGATTATAAAAACTTTTATCTAAATACTTCTATAGATATATGATCAATTAAAAATTGTGATATCTAATGATTACTATTACTACTCATCACAATTTCGAGGATTAATAATAGATTATTTTTATTTTTTATTTATTGTAAATTTTTAAATTTAAAATAGAGAGAATATAAGCTTATTTAGAATGTATAAAATATGAGTATTAAGGAATAAATGAAAGAAGAAAATAATAATAAAATATTTGATTTTTAGAAAGTCATAATACTTGAGCAAAAGCTGACTTTTTAGATTTCAGCATAATTTACTTTTTGTAAATGAAACATTGATTTTTCTGCCCATTACTTCTTTTCCATGAAGTAAAGCTGCTCCATTCAATGCTTCTTCTAATGATGATAATCTTACTAATGCCATATGTTTTTATCTAATAGTGAATTTAATTTATACTTATCAATATGAATAAATTTAATAGCTTATACATTTCCAATTCCTTTAAATAATTCTTTAATATAGGTTTCTTCCTCACACATTTTACCTTTGATGTTGCTCAAATGTAAAGTCTAGCTAGGAGGATTAAAAGAGATTGATTTTGTTTCACTAAATCTAAATTAAGATTGTTGTGGCATAAATACTAAAGTCTATGGTGATTAAAATGGTAAAGGAAATTAAATTTCTTAATAGTTTGAATAAAAGATTTTAAGTTTCTAACCAAAAAATACTTAATTGTTCAAATGATCCAAAGCATTTTAAGCATGTGAGAGTTTTTAAAATTATACTAAAGCTGATGTTTTATGTTTAATATAGATTATTACTAACACATTTCCAAAATTTGACAATAAATTAAAAATGTTTAATGGTGTAATATTTTAGTTTGTAAGACCTCTCATATAAACTACTTTAGATGGTTAATTTTCCCTTAGAAATTAAGGAGATATATAGGTATATGGATCTATTTCTTAACTTTTTGATTTATCTTCTACTTCAGGGATTGAAAACATATAGGAATTTAGATATGTGTTTTTTTCAGATGAAAATGCATGCATAATATCTTCATCAATAGGATCATGCTCACTATCATCAAATTATATAGATTTAAATGATGAGAATTGTTAATATCTAGGAGAATCACCATCATCTATAAATTCCAGCGAAGTTTGTATTTTAGAGGGTTCCCATTCATTTTTATATTCAAAAAGATCTTATTTATCATTCAAACTAGCTCTTGTTCTTTCATTTCCAAAACTAGCCACACTCAGTCTTATATCTTATTATTATTGCTGGCCATTTTATATAACAGGTTGACTGTATATTTTAGGGTAAAATTCTTATTCATAATTATTCATTGTTTTTGTTGAATTCCTCTACTTTATTGCTTTGTAATCTACACCTCCAGAATTATTATTAAGAAATGTTACATTTTGCAATGTTGAATAATAACTAATAGTCATAAATAAAATATTTACACATTCATGATTGTTTAATCATACAATTAACATCCATTTAATTATTACTAAGAAAACCTTGCCTATTATAAAGTTGCCATCTCAACAAAACATTTCCATAGTTTTCCCTTCTCAAATATTAGAATTTTGTTAACCTCCCCAAAATTTGAAAAGTATCGATAGAACAATGAATGAGGAAGTATTATTGATTAAGGATTCTACACAATCACCAATAATACTTTCGTACTGTCATTCTCAGATATCATTACTATAAAAATTAAAATATATATATTTATCGATTGCAGTTTAAAAATATATCTCAAAGATTAAAGATCCTCAATAAGACATTATTTATCAATTTCATTCAAAAATATTACTTATCAAAACTCTTAGATCTTAATATTATATATCATTTATAAATCTGAAAGTTAAATGCTTATTTATCTTTTATTATTTCAAAGTAAACCTAAATCAATTATATAAACTAAAAATTATGGAACAATTAAATCTAATTTTATAAAACTCAACTTTAAAATTCAATTTATGAATCTACTGAATTCTCTAAAATTGAATTAGGTACTTAAATGATATAAAACATTAAAATAAGTAGGTTCCTATTTTAGCTGACTTAAACAAGATGTTTATTCTGATTATGCAAATACTCATGAACAAAGTTACTAATATTAGTATTTCTAATAACTCTATATCAACTTTATTGATTACTACCTCCAGAAATAAAAAAAGGAAACTTTAAATTTTTCGAAATTATATAATCTGGATGATATTAATTGACAGATAAGAAAATCAACTCTATCTATTTTCCTTTAATTTATTGCTAAAACTAGAATTTTTTAATAATTTTTATGTAGTTCTCAAACGCTACTTAAAATAACTTTACATTCACTAAAGATCTATAAATTTAATTTCTGCCATCATTCTTGTAGACAAATATTCTGCAATATAAATAAGTATAAATAATATAGAATTGAAGAAGTAAGGTAAGTAACTGAAAGCATAATATTCATTTAAATAATATTAATGAATTCACCTGAAAAGTAAGAACTTAACATAGAATTTAATTAACATTCAAAATTTTGCATAGTATCAAGCATTAAAAATTAAAATATATTAAATCAATTAAATAAAAAAATTGGAATTATCTTAAAAAACCTTTATCATGTTTTGAAGATAAAAATTAAGCAGTTTTTTTTTTTTTTGGTTTAAATTTCAGATTATAAATAAAATAGATTATTCTCTTTCTTTATCTAAATTTATAAGGAATCTATAAGAATATCTATGTTAAATGAATTATTTTAAAATAGTCATCTGACGTAATATTTATATTATTAATATTATTAGTATAATATAGAATGAAAAAATTCATAAATAAGTCTAATTAAAATTTCAATTCTTATTAATTTAGATATTAGCTAGTATTTGTGTTATTATTACAATTCATCCATTAAAACATCTGTTAAATATATTGGTTTTTTTGCATATTTGAAATATAGCATAAACAATTATTGTAAATTTTTATTATCAAATATTTAATTGAAATTGTCTTGAATCGATTTAATCACTTTAAAAGATTGGTTGATTTTCTAAAAGCAATATCACTTTTAGACCTAGAATATTCAAATTATCTTACAAAATAGACAATAAAAAAAAAATTTTATTAGAAGTATATAGAAAAAATTTAAAACTTGAAATAAAAAAGATTATTAATCAGCTCAAAGAAAAATATTTTGCAAGTTTTAAGCTAAAATTTATATTCAGAAACCTTTTTAGAAGGTTGTAATCAAGCTATTTGAGTTTTTCAGTAGATATTTTGTGTTAATTATTAAACAATTAATTTTTCTTTAAATATTTTATATATTGTAATTAAGCTTTGATTACATCATGCTTCTTTTTCGATTATTTATCCTTTTTACAAGGACTTTTTCGCAAATTTTGTATTATGAAAGTTTTACAAGCAATTCATTTACAACTTCTGAAGGTATTTAATTTAATAATTAAGAATGGGTTTTAAGTGGCTAAAGTTAAATATATAGTGACTGTGGTACTATAAGACTGTTAGGAGGATTTGGAGCTTTTGGTAAAGATACTTCAGCTACAAAATTATTGTAGTTACCACCCCATCATACAATCAGAATAACACTTGAGTTTTGGAAGTAAGAGTTTGTTTTAGTTACTTTAGAATTGATTCATGGAATAATGAAATTTTTTTCATTTATTTAGATTAAATTTCAGGTTTTTAATAGAATTATGGAAGTGCAGGTACTTAATATTGCGGATTATCGCAAGGGGAAACTATACAGCAGATAGTTATTACAAAACAACATAATTTTTAATCTCTTTTTATCTTAATGACATCAAATTTAGATGGAACTCATACAAATGTATTATCAATTTAAGTTAGGGTTAAAGGAATCTTGGGGAATCAGGGATTTTAAATTATACATATACCCTTGTCCATCGGGATGCTAAACATGTACTTCTACAGAATCAAGAGAATAATGCATATTTTGGAATATTATTGATGATAGTTTAGCTAGTATTGATTTTAACAATTTTAATCATGATGGTTGGATAATAGATAGAGGATATAAATATAGTAGTAATTGTTTATGTATCAATGATAATTAATTTATTTAAAGCTATTCCAATGCTTGGAGGTTATGATTACACAGGGGAATATAGTTATATCATCAAATAACTTAATTTAGCAGCTCATAGTTAAGTGAAAATTAAATTTAGATTTATATTTATTGATACATGGAATGCTGAAAATGCCTATTTTTATGTTGACAATGTTTAAATCTGGACTTAAAACTTTGATTACAACCTCAGAGTAATTTAAAATCTTTGCGGATAGTCTTATGATGATATACCATATACTGAAGAAATTACGATAGCACATTCAAGTTCACAAATAACACTTAAATTCAGTACTGATTTAAATTAAAATCCAAATAATGAATCTTTTGGAATTAGAGATATCTAAATATATATTCGTAATTTATTTTGATATTTTTAGCTTGTATTTTTGGTTCTTCTTTTAATTAGGCTTGTGGTACAATTTGTGGTAACGGAGATTTAGAATAATTTGAATAATGTGATGATGGTAATATTTATGCTTTTGATGGATGCTATAATTGTTAATATTCTTGTGTAGAAGGATGCTCTAATTGTATCGATGGTATTTGTTTTGAATGTGATACTGGATGGATCTTTTAATCAGATTTTAATACTTGTATTGCAATCATTGATGATAAAAAATTTTAAATTTGGGAAGAATGTGATGATCAATTAAACTATGAAATTTGTGAAAATGGTAAATTTATTTGTCCATCATCTTGTTTGATCTGTTAATTTGGAATTTGTTTATAATGTTAATTAAATTATGAATTAATCAATAATAAATGTGAATCTATTTGTTAAAATTAATTAATTGTTAATGATTTATAATGTAATGATTAAAATTTATAAGCATTTGATAAATGTCATCAATGTTATTTTGAATTAGAAGAAGGCTGTAAATTATAAGAAAATGGAAATTGCATAGATTGTTTAGACGGATGGATGGTAGAAAAACCTAATGATATTTGTATCCCTATATGTGGAGATTTAATTATTAAAGGAAATGAAGAATGTGATATTAACAAAGATTCTAAATAATCTCTAGGTTGTAATTAATGTTTATTCGATTGTTAAGATGAATGTTCAGATTGTAAATTTGGAATATGTTATGATTGTATTGCAGGTTGGAAATTAATAAATTAAAAATGTTAATCTGATTGTGGAGATAATTAAGTTAAAGGATTAGAAGAATGTGACGATATGAATTTTATTAGATTTGATGGATGTAATAAATGTAAAAATGATTGTTAAAGAGAATGTTCATATTGTTTTAGAGGGATGTGTTTAGATTGTATATATGGTTGGCATTTAAATGATCAGTTTATTTGTGAACCTATATGTGGAGATACTTTAATTGCTTTAATTACTAATGAAGAATGTGAAGATTTTAATGATGTACAATTTGATGGCTGTTATGAATGTAAATTAGAATGTGGCCCTTATTGTGATACTTGTGTTTATGGAGTTTGTTATAATTGTGAATATACATTTACATTGATTGATTAAATTTGTCTTCCTATCTGTGGAGATGGATTAGTTACTATTGGATATGAATAATGTGATGATATGAATTTAATCCCATATGATGGTTGCTATGAATGTAATTATTAATGTAGA